AAAATTCTGGGTAGCTCTTTAAAATATGGTTTTAAAAACTTAAAAAAGTCATAATATGCCCATTCTTCACCATCATTATAACGTATTCCATTATTGGCACCATTATTTGTTGACTTATTAATTACTTTTTGGACATCATCTACTGTGTTAATAACTGTTTTTTGAAAAAGTGTTTTAATATTGCCAAAATATCTATTGTATATAAATTTCATATGTCCAGTTATCATAAAATTTACCTCAACTGTATCATACATGCCAACTAATGTAAGCTAACACCAAAAGTATAACGAGAGATTATTTTTATTTTGTGCTGAGCAATTATCACAAGTTACTTTTAAATGTTTTTCATGATTATAAAATCATTGCAATCTATTATAAACAAGACTAATTGTTGTATTTGCTCCTTTACCTGTTTCTTGAGGAAATTCATTCTCAGCAATTATATAATTTAATTGTTGAGCAGGATTTTGTTCAGTATTACAAATACCAAAAATATAAGCCTGGAATGCAGATTTAAAATATGTCGTACCAATTTGTTGAGAAGAACAAGGCACAGAAACATTTTGTGCCCAATCATAACATATATGTGCCATATTAGGTAATATCGTACTTGTTAAAATATTATTACGATAATATTCTCGTTCGATTGCTGCTTTTTGTTTATGATCATCTAACCTTTTTTGAATTAATTCTTTTTCCTTATTATAATTTGCACTTCGAATTTCAGCCTTTAGAATTTTACAAGTTTCACATAAATCTGTGCCAGGTGTTATAATTTTAATATGTGGTAATAACTCTTTCCAAATACGAACAAAACTTTTATAACTAATTTTATCGAATGGTTTTTCAGGAAAAATATTAAGACATTCGATAAAATTATTATATACTTTAGTATAGTCTTCATTAGTTGGCAAGTAAATTATTGATTGTATGTCATATTGTAAATGTCGACCTGGAGAAGGATACCCGTGAATATTAGCATAATTACTAATAAATGTAGAAACAAAGTTGATACAGTTTGATCAATTTTTGTACGGTTTTTTGTATTAGGAATTCGCTTTGTATTGCCATGTAATCGTTCAACTAATCCTTTTGTTTTTAAACTCTTATTAATTTGAATAAGATGATCTTTTCCAACCCCAATTAACTTAAGATATGCAT